TAATAATAATTAATAATAATTAATAATAATAATAATTAATAATAATAATTAATAATAATAATTAATAATAATAATAACAATAATGATATTAATAATAATAACAATAATAATAATAAAAATAATGATAATAATAAAGTGAGCGAATGGGCTCAAAACAATTTAAATATATCGATAGAGTATTGGAAGTGCCTGCTTAATAATTTTATGAGATCGGCTAACAAAATATGTATACAATTAAGAAGCTTACTGTGTCAGAACTTTTTGACATTTCCCACGAACTGCCCACATCAACTGTGCTTTATCCGTTTTTTTCCAAGATTCCCTGTCAAGTTCTGTCCCATCAGTATGCACTATAATGTGCACTTCATCGTCCATTTCAGTCATGCATATTTCCACACCTCTGAAAAATGGCTCCTTGTTTTATAAGGTGCGGCTTTATCAGCATTATTTCAACGACCATGCAAATGATTCACATTCACATATGCGATAAAGTTCATCAACGAATAAAATTGCATTAAAAAGAAAATCCTCTTTACATTTCATTTTATTGTATCGATTAGTTTATTAAGCAAAAAATTAACAAAATTTTCGATCACTTGGACTGATATTATCCCTAATCATTACAAAATGATAGTCGGAAAAGTGGAGGAAAGATTTTACTTTAATCTGCTGGCAGCGGTAAGATTTGATTCAAAGGATAATCGCGGTTGATTATCACGACAATGAAAGGATAAGGTACAGTCTAAATCGGTAGCTGCTCGCATAAATACTGCCAACGATTCAGGATCAAATATTGAAAATCTTAAAATTTATCGCTCTTGATAAAGTTAAAAGTAATTATTAGAAAGAAATCTTTTGTAATCAGATATCCGAACAGTAATTCTTAGCAAAAAAGAAAAAAAGAAATATCTATTGTTATATAAGTTAGTAAAGTTATCAACGATGTGAAAAAATAACTACCAATAATGAAGATTATGTAAATGTTTATTCTTCCTTATTCATCGTTTTAAACTCTAAAATTTCTCCTTACCACTTTTATATCGCTCGTTTACAAGTTCATGTTATAAACTTTTTGCAACTTGATTTAAATGATATTGTAGTAGGGGGTGAAATACTAGTACTAACTTAATGAAGCACCGAAATTTACCTGAGCTTCCACTATGACGTCCTACAATTCATCAATATTTATCATTGACTATATTGAAAATTGTAAATGAAAAGAGTATATCACAGGAATTGCAAATAAATGAAAATTGATGGATTAGAAATTTTTGGAATTTATAAGATCAAATTAGATACTGTAGTAGTGTGAAGAATAATGAAAAGCATACGAATCTAAAAGATGTGGCAGCGTTGAACTGACAGATGAAGCAGACTGATTAGCAGCAATTAAACGATTATGAACAGATGATAGTAAACAGTTTGAAGCATTCAGTGCTGCTGCAGATATATCAGCACTGTTGTATCCACCATTACTATTCTGAAACTTAATTGTATAAATCATTTCACCCTAAAATAATCTTAATATCCGAAATAATCTTCTATCTAAAATAATCTTATTACCTAAAATAATCTTCTTAATACCTAAAATAAGATTCATTCCTTCAGATTCATTCCCCCGAAGACCATTAAAGTGAGAAATTAACTTTTAGATTGTGCTGTCAGATACTGTCAATTGTCAATTAAACACATCATTTTTGGAGGCTTTATGAAATCAACAAAAGAACTACTTATGCCGTTCACCAAAGAGTCGGACAAGATACCATCACCCATCTTAGTAATTATCTAATCATCACATCGCACTAGTAGTATATTCATAATAAAAATAATACCTCTAACTTCCCGCAAAGTGCTGAACAACGATGATCAGTACTCCCAGTATAACCAGCAGTTATATTGATTATTTCAGATGTATGTGGAATAGATGACAAAAAGTTAAGTGCTTTCTGCAAGTATACAGGTAGGTTGAAGACAATGTTAATGAACATTAGTCACCGCACTGACAAGTTTCGAAAATTTTTTAAAATTTAACTAATAAAAGGGAAAAAATAGATGAGAGGAGAAGCAAAAGGCAAAAGTAATGAAAAAGAAAGTTAATGAAGAAAGATACATACCTCCTCAGTGCTGCGATCCGATTGTGCAAATGTTGGAAGAGCTGCATTTAAACTATCACCATCATAAGTACAATCATTGATCGAATTGTGATCAATATTTTTTGAATTTGTTGAACGGCCGTTTGAAACCAACAATGAACGATTACGCTTGATGTACGGTTGAGTTGGCATCTGAAATTGTGGCGCTTTCTTCGTCGCAAATTGTTTGAATTTAAGATATTTAATATATTCAAACAAGAATATTGAAAGAAAGAGGAAGAAAGAAGGTGACGAATTGTATTTAAAAGGTAATAATTTTAAGAAAGGACCAAAATTATTCCAACCAAAGGAAAAGAATCTGCTGATGAGTCGTCCAGTTGTCCAGTGGCCGACTGAGCTTCTTGCGATTTATCACAAAGGATACCGACCCGTTGCTCAAGCCAATTCTGGGTTGTAATGATCCCACTCGGATCCAATTCATCCAGAGATGCCATTTCTATCCGATTTACTTGAGGTCGACTGTGATCTCGAACAGCCTGCTGTTGCAGGACAGTCCAATCTCGACCCTTGAAATGTATCGCTCGCAAATGACCCCACATCGTCTTCGTTGAGCTATCTTTCCGTTTCAAAACCTTTGCGCAATGGACACAACGTACATTACCGTCGGATAAGCGGAAGAAATGCTTCCAAACACTTGACGGTTTGAATTTTTGTGATTTCCGCTTCTTCGTTGCACCATTCTTCACGTTATCAGAATACTGATTTTCGAGAATGTTCACGGTTGAGGACGTCAACCGCGCCAACATTTCTACTGAGTACTCACCAATGTTACTTGAACTCAACATATTATTTCCACTATCAACTTCCTTCTCTTCATCCATAATCATCGTAGGACATGATGTAGGGAGGCTAGAAATTTTCGCCGATAATAGACTTTTTTTGCAATCTGCGACAGAACTGTCAATACCATGATGACCGCCATTATTCTTTTTAGCGTTTACACAATCTTCAGGACGTAAAACATTCACGCTTGTAGAGAAAGATTCGTTGCGACTCTCCAGCATGGTTATTTCTAAAACATTCTACTATCAAAAACAATTTTTAAATACGATATACGTAGTAAATAACAAGTATGCTAAAAATATTCCCCCACAGTATTATAAAAACAGAAGCAAAGGTAATTATAAAACTTTAATATAAAACTATATATTTCAATAATATGAAAGTTTCTTAACTCCTGACTACACTTAACCCCGCCGAATGGTTCATTAACGGAATGAACTACTATTAACTCAGACCCTCAATTTACGTGTTTATGTGTGGTGATGATTTACAGTGAGGACAGGAATGAATGAAAGAGAGTGTGGAATGACCTAAGTACCGCTCTCCTTTTAATTGAAGCAATTGGGAGTCAGTTAAGGAGAGGATTCCGAAGATTATCCAACACTTTTCGTCAATCTTATTTCACCTATTCTTCGTTTTGTTACTTGATATGATGCGACATGACGTGACATAACGTGATATGTAAAGTTTGCTATCAGGATGATAACTCAGAAAATGATAATTCTATCAAAACTAATACGAAAATATCAATCCCAACTAACTTAAAAATTTTTAGTATGAAAATAACATTGTATAGTACAGCTTTGAGGAGAAAAAGAAAGAAAGAAAAATCACAAGATTTGTTTTTATTTGTACATTTTTTAATTATAAAGAGATTTATGCGAACTCCCTTGATGACAACAAAGTATAATTTGGTTCGAAGTGTTAAAAATTAGCTTGAATTTTAATACTCAGCAATGATAAATGTTTCATGGTAATGGAAGGATGAGAAGAGGTAATCAAGTGAGAAGTCACATTCGAAGTGGACAAAGTAATGGTCTTTGATGGAAGGAGGACGATTTAGGGTTTGATATGGAAAAGTAACAGGAGATGAAAGAGAAAGGAAACTCCATTAACATTGAAAATTTAATGTTATGATATTAGCAGAGAAAAACACAATCCAAATTTAGCTCCCCTCTCGCCCTTCTCCGCCCAACATTGATCTAGAAACCCCTGACCTTTGCCATCGATGCCATAATGGGCGCAATATCGGCGGCTGTATAAGCAGTAATATATCTTGAAATCACTTTCGAGGATAATTTCAGTCGTTAAGATATGGTTCACTCAAAATGGCATCTTTAATGTTACTGGAACAGATACACATTGACCTGCGACAGGGGAAAATTCAGATGTACTACTTTAACTGAAGGGTTCACTTCAACGGAAAGGATTGGGATGATGAAATAAGGGAAAGATACTAATTAACTGACTGATTTACAACTGTATTCCAGTGAGATAGGATTTGAAAAGTAGCTCGAAATTTTAATTCAAGTTTACAATGGCCATCCCGAAATATGACATTCCAATAAATACAAACACATACATAGAAGTTCACATCTTCCTATCTGGAAAGCTAAACTTGAAATCAATCCTAAGAAAATGATAAATAAAGACTAGATGACTCAACAAAGTTAACTGCCGGAATAACAAACTTATAATGACAATCGATTATATGTCATATCATCTTCGGGTTTTTCAAAATTTCCTAATTCCCTTTTTCAGTTTTTAGCTTAATTTCAGCTAATTTACATTCTCTGTCATGAACCAATATCATTTAAAGTGACCAATGTCCGAAAAAGAAATACACAATGAGAGAACCAATGAAGTTTACCCAAAAAAAAAAACTAAACCAAAATGAATAAAATAAATGAGAAATTCACAAATCATATCAGGAAAGAAGATGTGCAACAAAATGAAAAACAACAAGAGAATGAAAATGAAAAGTAACACAATACCAAGGGAGCTTTTCCAACTTTCTTTCTCCCCTTTTCCCTTCTTTTTTTTTTCGAAATTTCTGATATCAGTAAATAATCAAAGTGAATAAAAAAATAATAAAAAAAATAATAGTCTAAATTACCGTGCCGTGCAACTCCTATTGTTTTAGCAATATATTGTAGAAGCATATAAATGCATTTATATTTGAGAGAAAATTAAAATTTGATATTTACTCATTTTATAAAACTATTGAATTATATAGAAAAGAAATGTTTATCCGGTGAAATTTAAATCAGTAATTGAGAGGAAATCTGATAGGATTACAGGAGCAACTGACCTTGTCTCCAAATCAAGAAAAGATGTACTTTTTGAAAAATGCACACTATAATACCAATAACTACCAATTCTACATCTCTCATCATTCATTCTCATTATCAGTCCTATTGCTTGAATCATCCTACTCCATCCTTTACGTGTATCAAGATATGCCGGGAATTTACCAGAGAATAACACTCTGAAATTAACGTTTTTCTTCTTTTTTTCTTAATGAAATTCTTCATTTAATTACAATTCATTTTCTGGAATAATGAGTAAGACACAGTTTATAACAAATATCAAAGAGAGTAGTAAGTGATATATCCCATTCTTATCTAAGATGATAACGACGCATCTTAAATTAAGCAAAGCACTAAACTAAACATAATTATATCTAAGTTTTGGTTGCTAATTGGCTTTCCAACTATTCACAATAAGTTTAATCAAATTTTCACTTAACTTTTTCTTAACTATATTGTTAGCAGTGTTATCAGTTATTGCCAACAACATTCCAAAACACTGAAATAAATAATGAAACCAGATAACTGCTATACCTTTAGTGGTGCAGATGAACGAGGACACTGCTAAAGCAGCTGCTATCCATGGACAGAAAACCTTGAAGCAATTAATTTCAAATATTTTACTTACATGAATTCTACTTTATATATACATTATATATATATATATTA